TGATGAATATCAGGCCGTTTCTAGGCCATAAAAATTGGCTTAGGAAACTCACCTTGCGAAATTTGGGCTATTGTGCTAAAATGATCTAGAACACATAACAGAGAAATATCAGTTGATTTCTAGGCGATGAAAGTTGGTGGCCGAGAAAACTCAACTTGCAAAAATTGGGTCATAATGCTAAAATGGTCTAGAAAACTCACCAGGTAAATATCAGGACATTTCTTCACCATAAAAGTTGGTGGCCTAGAAAACTCAATTGGCAAAAGTTCGGCCACCATGTTAAATGACCTAGGAAGCATATCAGGCGCATGTGAGCCTATTTTTGAGCCATAAAAGTAGGTGGCCTAGAAAATTAAATTGGCGAAAGTTAGGCCACCATGTTAAATTCCCTTATAATTTTCTTATTTACTGAATTTTTGAATTTCTGAATTGTTCAGATTTATTAGTTTCTAAATTTTTTGAGATTCTTGTATTTCTGAATTTTTGAGATTTCTGAATTTCTGAATTTCTGAATCTCCAAACTTCTAATAAACGTTTTCACCCCTTTTCGAAACCCCTCTCAACCTATTCTCACCTACATTCTCCATCCCTATCATCTAATTGGATTCTCATGAAAAAACTTGATACGTTATCTGTTATCAAAATAAAAAAGACACGACCCACTTTTCAATACTCGGACAACATTTCGTCAATTGTCCACATTGTCTCTCGATTCTTCTCTTTACTCCAGTAAAGCAATGATTCGGAACATAGGTTATGGTTCGGCTGAAAGAGAATCTGGGAGGGCGGGGAAGAAGTTGGCATTGTTCATTCTGAAAAACTGAATGAGCCATAAAAATGGTCTGTCACTTTCTCTTTTCACCCATATCTCATAGTCAGATCTTTTGTGTCAATTAGGGTCATCTTTCTTTTTTCCCTTTTCTTACCGTTTGCTTGTCCAACGGCTTTGAATTTTCATTGAGACATGCGACCAACTGCCCATCCAATTCTTCCTCCAATCGCTCTAACTGAAAATTACTTTTTTTGGAAGCGTTAAATGAAAAGTCCTACCGTAGTATAATCATTTTTCAACTTCTGATGACAGTCGTAGGTGTCTCTTCGTTCCGGTAACCAATAGGGTCTCCATAAAGAGTTTCCAAGACAGAGACGCTCTTCTAATAGGGATACCGCGGCACATTCGACGAATGCTGCACAATAGTTGGAGGAAGGAGCTGGTGATGATGGATCTGGTGACTGAAAATTTTCAGATTTTGTTTGGAAGAATAATTTTTCATAATGTACGGGTCAATAAGATACCGTAAACACTCTAATAGAAGGCAACCCAAACACACTATCATTAATATTTTATCAGTTAACCAATTTTAGATATCTCTCACAAGAACTGAGATATATAAGTTCAAAGTTGGCTGGTCAATGAGGTATACAAAAAAAATTTTCAGTTGATTTTTGGCATTTCCAAGAGTATTTGCAGGTGTCCGATCACTTTTAAATTTTTTGAAAGTTATAAAACAGACCTAGATTGATGACCATTTATTCACAGAATTTTTTGAAAAATCCTTATTTTCCGGTTTCGGAAAGCTTTTTGTACTGAAAACATTCTTAGTTCAAAAAATAGAGTACTTTTCGTTGGAATGTATATGTTTGGCGTCTGAAAATAAGCTATTTTCAGCCGAAAAATTCGAGATTTTAACAAGAACGAAAAATATGTTTTCAGCTGGGATTTAGCGATTTTAAGCCAAAAAGTGATGACTTTTAAATTGACAATGGAGTTAACTATACATGAAAATGTTTACTTTCAATTCAAAAACAGCACTTTTTGAGTTTAAAAATATGCGCTTTTAAGGCAAAAATGTTATTTTCTAGGTAATACATAATCAAATTGTTGTCTTAAAATTAGCTATTGTAAGCCAAAAATCAACGAATTGTAACATTTTCAGTACAACGACTGGCTAAAAAGAAGTTCTTTCAGAAATCGGAAAATAGCTGAAAAACTATGGATTTTCAAACAATTCTGCGAATGCAAAGTTTTCAATCTAGGTCTGTTTTACACTCTTAGAAATTTTCAAAGTAATTGGAATTTTGACAGTCGAGGTCCAGACTCCTGAAAAAGGCTGGAAATCTACTGAAAAATGTTTTGTTGTACCGTAAAATCTATATTAGAAGGACCCCCACACAGTCAACTTTGAGCTCATATATCTCATTTTCTGTAAAAGGTATCAAAAATGTGTAAACTGATAAAATGTTTGTTAGATTATGATGAGCAATTTATTAGTCTACAAATTTTTTATATCTTTGACAGGAACCGCGATATATGAGCTCGAAGTTGGCGGTTTGGCTGGTCTTCATCAGAGTGTTTACGGTATATTTTATTGATCAGCTCCCAGATCTCTGAATTCAAGTCCCAATCAAAAAGTGGATCTTACCTCATATTGTGCCAAAACGAATCGATATGAAATAGGAAGAAGGAAAAGAAACATCCGCATTTGGGACAACCCGAATGAAGACTCTTGTCCGATTCTATGGAGGGATTATAGGGCCACTGAAAGAAGAGAAAAATTGGGGATGGTAGAAAAAGTGAAAAGGTCGTAAAAGTTGGTGAAAGAGATATATAAAGTTCAGACGAAAGTGATGCTCTTCCGGATGATATCAATTGGTGAATCCGATTCAGAGGAATGTATCCGTTGAAACGTGTGAAAGTGAGAAGAAAGTGCGCGAAGGGGGTCGGAAGAATGACTAATTGACGTCGATTAGCTCTTCTAAAATCCCAACCACTTTCAAATTGTCAAAAAATATAAGGAAAGGGAAAACTACATGAGAAAATGGATGGAAGTTGCGATAAGGCGGTTTCCTTTTTCGGAGAAAGATGCACCATGCTGTTCATGTGGGTGAAGGTCGACTTGACCGGGAAGAAAAAGAAGAATGAAAAATCCGCCTCCTTCTCCTGGGTTTTTGTCCAGAGATACCATTGTGTCGACCTCTTTAACATCGAATACGAGGAGACGACGTAAGAAGACGAGACAGGAGAAAACAGCTTATCCATTCCGACGACGAATGAGACATGACAGATTTTAGAGGAAGGAATGACAGAGGAATATTATGAACGCTTATTTACGAGCCTTCGTTATCGCCCCGATTTGATGCGAGTTGACACCGATTTCGAAATGAACGGATATTCGAAAAAAAAAACGGGAGAAGAAGTGTCGAAGTGAAAGGACAGATGTCCGGAATGATCATATACACTGAACTGAAGAAAAATGGGGGACTAAAAAAATCTTCTTTCAAAAAATACCCTCACAGTGTGGAATGGGATGTATGGTATCTGCTAACAGATGAATGAAGAACTAGTTGATTGAAATAAAATCCATATTTCCTCTAATAGAAAGAACACCCAAACCATCTACTTTGAGCTCAATTATTTCGATTTCTATAAAAGTTACCAAAAATATGTCCACTGAAAATTGTTTATCATGATACCACCGATATTTATCAGTTGACAACATTTTGATATCTTTCATTGGAACCGAGATAATTGAGCTCAAAGTTCACGAGGTGGTTATTTACAGAGATAACCGGAATGAATTTTTCGAGAACTTATACCGTAAAACCTGTAATATAGGGCCCTCCAACTTTTATCTTTGAGCCAATTTGTCTCAATTAAGGTAAAAGATATCAAAAATGTGTCAACTGATAAAATATTTATTATTATGATAAACAATTTATCCGTTGACAACTTTTTCATATCTTTCACTGGAATCGAGATATATGGGCTGACGGTTTGGGTGATCTTTTATCAGTGTTTACGGTAGCTTATTTGGAACCTCGCAAGTTTTTTTGAGGAATCTGAACTCCGGAAATTTCTGTTATTTTTACTCAACATCTATTTGAGAGACGCACCACAAAATTATCTATATTTTTGTTTTGTTTCTGGCAGAAGTTTGAAAAAATGTTTTTTTTTTCTTTACACAGATGGGTTCCGTTAAATAGTAGCGCACCTGTAATAAATAGAAGGATTACTAATCTTTTTTGTTTTCCATTTTCCGAAAAATTTTTTAACTTCATTGTCTTGAAAATTCTTCTTCAAAAACTTATTTTCGAACTCATAGAACCTGTATTTCTCTTTTACAAGTCGACTTGCTCCTCTAAAAACTATATTGAAACTCCCGCGCTTTTTCGCTAGAATACCCAACACTTTACGCGCAATGCTCGTCAACTCTGCTATATGCACTGACTGTAGTTTGTTGTTTTGTTGTTTTCTTCACTTTTTATCCCTCATTTTTTCAGCGGAATTCTTTTCTGAAGCCGTGAAAGGTATTTTTTGTGAAAAGTACACTTTTTAATGTTGTGGCTCGCTTGAATGAGAGATTTGTCTTGTCTTTTACATAGGTTTTTAACAGAAAATGGCATGATATTTGCTAATAGTTCGAAAACTAGAATCTCGAAAAAGCCGTCAAGTAGAAGATAATGTTTTTTGAATCACCTTCAATTTTAGGTCGTCATGTTTATGAATCTTCTCTCTCAAGTCTCCAATGCGATTTTTCCTCAGGTTAGTTCATGATTTCCACTGAAATTTCCTCCCACTGTAAGGATATGATGTATGATTTACTTTGTGTTTCTCTTATTGAATTGTCATCATCTTCATCAGAAAACACAAAAACTAAAGTCGAGGCTACACAACTTCACAGTCGAGAGGCGGAGAGCGCACACGCCGTGGTGTTGCCCATTTAGTCTCTCTCGCAATCTACTCCTCTTGTTTACCACTCCTTTCCGATTTTCTATGTGTGTTTCACTCAATTTTTTGCGAATCTTGAATCTTTCTGCCGTGAAAATAACCTAACTAATTGTAAGAACAACATTTGATTTCCATTTTTTCAGGTCGAAGCCGCTCAAAAAATGTCCAACCGCGCCGTCGCTGTTCTTCGAGGAGACGTTGTCTCTGGCACTATTTGGATTACTCAGGTAACCTACTTTCGTGAAGCATGAGCATTATCTTTATTCTGAATCTTCAGAATTCGGAGAGTGACCCAGCTGTGATCGAGGGAGAAATCAAAGGACTCACTCCCGGACTTCACGGTTTCCACGTTCACCAGTACGGAGATTCCACCAACGGATGTCTCTCTGCTGGACCTCATTTCAACCCATTCGGCAAGACCCACGGCGGACCAAACGTAGTTTTGAAGCTCTCGTATTTCTAGAAATTCTTATTTTCAGTCTGAAACCCGCCATGTCGGAGATCTCGGAAACGTCGAGGCAGGAGCGGATGGTGTTGCCAAAGTTCATATCACTGATAAACTCATCACTCTTTACGGAGCCAACACAGTTATTGGACGCTCGATGGTGGTCCACGCTGGACAAGATGATCTCGGTAGAAAAAGAATAGTGAATGAAAAACATGAAGTAATTTTTTTCAGGCCAAGGAGTTGGTGATAAGGCTGAAGAGTCGGCGAAAACTGGAAATGCTGGTGCCCGTGCTGCATGCGGTGTCATCGCTCTCGCCGCCCCGCAGTGACTGATCGAACACTCTCACATCTAAAACCCACAAACATTCGCCTACTATCTTTTCCTACTATGTTTTCTACCCGTTAAATAGCTAAAATCCTGGTTGTATTCTCTTTGATTCCGACAAAAGAAACTGTATATTTATACTATTGTAGACTTTTCGTGCCGCACACTTTTCCAGTTTCGATAAATGTTTCTATTTTCTTAACACCATCTTCTCTCACTGATGTTCTTTGCATTCTCTTATACTTCTCTTATCACTGGGCAGCTGCAGCAGCTTACCGAATCGTGTTAAAAAGCCTGAAAGCCTTGTTTCTAACCTAAAAACGTCGAAAAATCGCGTGGTTTTCTATGTGAATTGCCAATCGCTATGGCTCCATTCATATCCAAAGTTTCTACCATGGCAACATCGTCAAGCTCCAGTGAAGAAGAGCAAGTTTTTCTCCGAAAATCACCTGACTATTGAGGCAGAAAACACTCAACCCTTATCGGTGGAATGTATATAAACGAGCTCCGAAATCTGTTTTCTATCAGCTTTTCCCCTGTTTTCAGTAGTTCTTCGTTCATTCCGCGAAATCAAAAATTCGCATTTTCTCAGCTTTACCGCAACAGTTGGGGCCCAATTTTGAGAAACTTAGCCATCATTCTCTCTTTCTCTGACTCTTCCATTATCAGTGTCTTTCAATTGACATTGTCGTAAAAATAAGAGAAAAATCACACCATTTTAGAGAAGAAAGAAACATTCTCAAATTCGCGCCAGTGATTAGGTTTTCACATTTAAAAAATCGTCGTTTTTCCTCTTATATTCAGTGTCATTACAGAATGAGTGGAATACTGGAAGTTTACGACGCGAAGCGGACGGATAATCTGATCATCACTCTTGAGGGTATCTCTGGATCTGAAACTATCAAGGCTATCAAGAAACGCATTGCTCAGAAAAGTATGTTCAGTCAAATTATCATAACGTTAAGGTTTCGTTTTCAGAATTGAAGCTCACTGAGGAACGTCAAGCGCTTCGTGTCGAACCGAAAGGAAAGCCACTAGGTGATGATCAGAAACTCTCCGATCTCGGACTCTCTTCCCAGAAGGCTGTACTCTATGTGAGAGATCTCGGACCGCAAATCGCATGGAAAACGGTGTTCATGGCAGAATATGCTGGACCACTCTTCGTGTACCCTCTCTTCTATCTCAGACCTACATTCATCTATGGAGAAGGTAATAGTTGAGATCTTAACTGTCATATTGCGAATTCTTCAATTTTACAGCTGCCAACAACGCTCAGATGCACCCAGCAGTTCAATTCGCTTTCTTGGCGTGGAGTTTCCACTATGCCAAGCGATTGTTCGAGACTCAGTTCATCCACAGATTCGGAAACTCGACTATGCCACAATTCAATCTTGTCAAGAACTGCTCATACTATTGGGGATTTGCCGCCTTCGTTGCCTATTTTGTTAACCATCCACTCTTCACCCCACCAGCTTTCGGCGACTTCCAGATGTATTTGGGACTCGTTGGATTCGTGATCTCCGAGTTTGGAAACCTCTCGATCCACATCCTTCTTCGCAACCTTCGCCCAGCTGGAACTCGCGAACGTCGCATTCCGAAGCCTGATGGAAACCCTCTCTCCCTTTTGTTCAACTACGTCTCGTGCCCCAACTACACCTATGAGGTCTCTTCTTGGATCTTCTTCACCATCATGGTTCAATCGCTCCCAGGTAATCCATACATCAATAGTCTATTTAAAACTGATTCTTGTTTCAGCTCTTCTTTTCACTATTGCCGGATTCGTTCAAATGACCATCTGGGCTCAAGGAAAGCATCGTAACTACCTCAAGGAGTTCCCAGACTACCCAAAGAATCGCAAGGCCATCGTTCCATTCGTTCTCTAAATATATTGCATTTTTCCCCGCTTCTATTTATTGTATTTCTCCATGTAACTTTGCAGTTGAATTGTTATCCAGAATTAAATATAGTAACTTATTTGAATCCTTATTTAAGTCCTTCTCTTTCCAATAAAGCTTTGCTTGCTTGAAACGAGATCGTGGATTCAATTTGAAGAACTACGTGGAAGTTAATAGTTCTTCAACTGGTCATTTTAAAATTAACCGAGAATAATGTCGGTTTGGTGTGGAATATGCCGAGAATTGAAATCATGTGAGGAGTCCGTTCAAGTTTGTGCTTTTTTCATTCGGGCGACTGATTCTCTGCTTTCCAGCTGATTCCTTGTCTACACACGTTCTGCAAAAAATGTCTGAAGGAAACATCGAAACAAGTTCGAGTGTGTCCTGTTGCTCATTGCTATTCCAGTCTCTCGGCTCCAGAATCCATGACGAGCACTTGTGAAGGAGAATATTGTCAAAGAAAGATTATGGTCAATGCGGACATTCTGCGAACGGCGTGCCATCACGACGTCTGTCAACATTGTTACGACATGGCAAGCAGAAAGTATGATATTCGACTGTATACCGGAGCTATTCTATTAGAGGGGCCCTTCTTTTTTGGCAATTACTCTTTGACTACACCACTCTTTGACTACACCTACTCTTTGACTCCACATTCTCTTTGACTACAAAGTCTCTTTGACTACATTTATCTCTTTGACTACACTTGTCTCTTTGACTACAAAGTCTCTTTGACTACACTTTTTAAATTTTTAAAATTTTCTGCAGTTTTTGTGGGCGTTCTCACAGAATATAAGAAGAATTTGAGCCTAAGCCTATAATTTTAAACAAAAAACTGACAATTCCAAAAATACATCACAGTGAAAAAAGTACTGAAATTCGCGAAAATCAGCAAAATTCTCACTTTTTTTCGCTGAGGTTTCCAAAATTTTATTATTTTCTGTACAAATCAAAGGCTTAGGCTGAAACGGTTACCGGAAAACTGGTGTTTTAGCCTAAGCCTACAATTTGAGACAAAAATCGGAAACTCCAATAAATTCAGTCAAAAAGTACTATAAAACAAAAAAAGTGTAGTCAAAGAGACTTTGTAGTCAAAGAGACAAGTGTAGTCAAAGAGATTTCGTAGTCAAAGAGAATGTGGAGTCAAAGAGTAGGTGTAGTCAAAGAGTGGTGTAGTCAAAGAGTAATTGCCTCTTTTTTTTCAGTCTATTTTTTCCGAAATTCTTAATTTCAAACGACAACTTGTGAAAAGGGCTCTTCTAATACATTTTTTATTCATATACAGTGAAACCCGACAAATTCGAGCTTTAGACCTCAAAGAATTTCAGAGAGAAGATGTCGTTCCAGCACTTGGATGTTCTGAATTAATGGTGGACGAAGAAGATTTAGTTTGTGAAGGACCGTGCAAGCAACCGCTGGTTTTCGATAAGACAATCATTATTCCGTGTTGTGGGGTACTCATGATTTAGAAAAGAAAAAATTCAGAATCATCTATGCTCATTTACAGGCAAAAATGTGTGAGGATTGTGGCACAAAATGGACGAATGGAAGAGATTTCTGTGATGCGGGGAAGTGTGTCGTAAAAGAGTCGAGCAAGAAGAAAAAAGCTCCAGATATGGTTCGCAGCTTTTTTTCTGTTTATATCATATCTATAAGTTCAGTCTCGCCAACCATGCATGGGATCGATGAGTTGTGAACAAGAGGTCTTGCGCAATTTTCCATCTGAATTCGAATGTGATCATGATGTATGTGTTCAATGTATTGGAACAATGCTTGATGAGTGTGAAAAAAGTGGAAAATCACCAATGTGTCCGGCAAAGACGTGTGGAATCCCATATCGATGTGAGAGTGTTCTAGCACTGGCCGCACAGTTTCCGGAGAGAAAAGGCTTCTTCTCAAAGTTCACTCTCCAGGCCAAGTTTTCAATGCAAACTTTGAGAGATGATTCTATTTCGGTTTGTTTTGCCTTCTAGGGATTTTTAACTAGATTTAAGATGATATTCAGAATGTGCTGCATGGAAGCCTAAACGCAATGACCGGTCAGAAATTTTCCTTGAAGGTTGGTTTTAACTTCTTAGGGCTACCAAAATATAAATAATTTTGAAACATTGAAGCAAATTATTTCAGATTGGTCAATGTGATGACGATGATGGCGGAATGCCTCTGGAATACGTGCGCGGAGGGTCGCTTGGCGACTTGATCAGAGAAATTCGAAGAGTTCTAAAAATCTTCGCAACGGACAAGATTTATGGGTACTATCGTGTGGATGATGGAAAGAAGAAAACGCTAGATGTATCAAAAGAGACCATCCGCTCATCTTGTGCTGCCCTCAACATCAACGAAGTTGGTGTTTTTTTTTTAATTTTAAGCTAAACGTATTTTTTAGAACACAACCATCCTCGTGGACACGACAGGCATTGTTGCGAGACCCAAAAAGCAATAGATGATGATTTTTTAATTTTTTTTTTCATATTTATGAATGAATTATTTAGAAGTGATTTTTTTCCTATTAGAATCTACCGTAAAATATGTATTACAAGGAACCCCGTAATAGAAGGGCCCTCTTCAAAATGTGTTGTTTAAAATTAAAAATTTCCATAATCTTTTTCTTCAAATTAACCGTTTCTTGAAGACGTCAATGTCCACGATTTCGCGACTTCGCCGTCGCAACGACACTCCGCCCTTACGCATGCGCCCTCTTTAGCACCGTAAATCTACACCAGCTGGCTTTGAAAAAAAAACACTGTTTGGGATTGCTTTCAGACAGATGTTTGTTTTTTCTATTTTTTCCCAACAATTTTCTCTCAAATTGAGTCTAAAAAGTGTGTATATAGTTTTTAATAATCTTTTAGATAGCTTAATCATGCCATTTTCTCTCTAAATGTGTTTTTAAACTACCAAAAATCTGTGTTTTCTACTTAATCAATTGAATATTGTTTTCTTTTTCAGAATGCATGAAATGCAAGGAGTTCTTCTATGTTCTGGCGGTGGAACTCGTATGCCTGTTCTGACTCAAAGTGCACAAAAATGTCTCCTTCCTGTCGTTGGTGTTCCCATGTTCCTCTATCCACTTTCCTCGATTCTGAGAGCAGGAATCACTGGTGAGATTTTAAATCTTAAAAGATGATTTATATATCTTCAGATGTAAAAATCTTCGTACGCGAAGTCTTCCAACCAGTTTTGGAGAAGGAAGTCAAGAAGTCGAAGCTTTTGGAAAAGTATCCAGCGAGTATTGAGTACATCAAAATTAATCAAGAGGATAATGGAACCGCGGATTTATTGAAGCATCATCATTCTAAAATTACAGTAAATTCTTTTTCAAACAATGGGTAAATTAAATTGAGTTTTCAGAGAGATGCATTAATTGTTTCTTGTGATTTTGTCAGTGATGCTAGTCTCATTCCGCTCATTGATACCTTCCGAGCTAAAAATGCAGCGCTGGTAGCACTGATTTCGGATACTTGTGTCAACGCTCCAGCTCCAGGATCAAAATCCAAGAAACCTAAAGGTACTTTTATGCTCTCAAGCGTCTACAGATCTAATTTTTTCCAGCCACTGATCTGATGGCGATTGATGAGCCAGATGGACAGCTTGCATATCTTTGCGGTGATGACGATTTTGACGTACCTCTTCTAATGGCGAAACTTCTTTCTACTTTCCCTTCGATTCGACTGACTGCTCAGTACAACGATTGCCACGTCTATGCTGTTCGCCACAAAGTTCTTCAACATCTCAACAAGACGAAGCTAGTTTTCTAGTTCTGTACCCATTAATAAGGTTACCATTCCAGACATGTTTCCTCATTCAAAGCAGATTTCATCCCCATGCTGATCGATAAACAATTCGAAGCAGAATCCCTTGGAAAGTGTCTCGTATATCGTCTTCCACATGAAAACGGATTCGTAACGGCACATGCTAACACTTATGGAGCATACTTTGAAGTCAACAAATCCGTGAGTTTGTATTTAGAATGACGTCATCTATTGTAAGGGCTCTTTCAGATCCTAAAATCATTCACTCGACTGATGGAGTATCGAGGAAACGGAAAAACGTTTCCGAATAGGGCAGAAAAAATTTCCGCTCATGATAGCAGAGTAGAGGAGAGTGCTCAGGTGGGTAATTGTTTTCTAACCGAACCTACTGTAAAACCTATAACGGAAGAACCCGAGATTAATTATCTCGATTCCTTTAGAAGATATCAAAAAGTAACAACTGATAAATTGTTAATCATAATCTCACAAACATTTTACCAGTTGATACATTTTTGATATCTTGCATAAGAAGCAAAATGATCGAGTTAAAAGTTGGCCGTGTGGGGGGGGGGCTTCTATTACAGTTTTTACTGTATTATCCTTGTCTGAGAAAAAAAAGGTTGAGACGCAGAGAAAAAGTGTCTGTGTCTCCACCTTATGTGTGCTATTTAGGCTCTCCGCTTCGATATCGCTACCGTATTCAGACTGCAAAAAATACTCTCTAACCTTTTTTTTTCTCAGACAAGCATAATATATTTCCACTTTCAGATAGGGAGAGACACGATAATCAAAAGATCGATTATTCTGGATAATTGTCGAGTTGGAGAAAAGACAAAAGTGAAAGAGAGCATCGTTGCGAGAGGCGTTGTTATTGGAAACGGGTGAGTAACCAGTAACTGATGTCCTAGGGGGATTCTCTCGTATCCATAGAAACAACAACACAAAGTTGTTCAGCCATGTAAATTCATCCTTTCAGAGCATCTGTGAACAATTCTATTATCTGTGAAGGTGCTGAAATTGGAGAAAACGCGGACGTCACAAATTGTATCGTTGCCAAAGATCAGAAGGTCGCAGCCAAAGGTTTAGATTTTGGAACAACTGGTTTAGCTAATTTCCCATCATTTTTCGAAATTTCGGATCCCGAAAAATTCCAAAAATAGAGCTCGAAAAGTTTCCGCATTTTAGAAAAAAAAACAAATTTTTTGACCGAGAAAGACCGATTTTCCATTTTAAAAGTCATGAAATTTTGTCTCCAAAAACCCAAAAAATCATTGAAATGTAAAATTTTGGATTCAAAAACCTCTAAAACATCATAGAAATTAAAAATTTTGCCTCCAAAAAACAAAAAAAATCAACCCCTAATTTTCTTTTCCTTTTTTAAGCCAAAATTCAAAACGAAATGGTGGATGGTGCCGATGATGAGAATTGGACAAGTGACTGATCTTCTGGAGGTTAACGGGGTCGAAGAGCAATTCGGATATATAAAATTTACGGCACCTAGCTTTTCTGTTCTTTGTTTCTTTTCTGTTTAATTAATTTGTTTTCTATAAAAGTGTTTGTTCCAGAGCTTATTATTAAATTTGATTTTTCTCAATTTGGTTTTCGTTCCACTCATTTTCTCATAACTGTTTCCCCATATCTTTTTATTAGTGTTCCTTCAAGAAATGGAGCAATGAAGTTAGCATTCAATAAGCTGCTGGTGGCCTCCGTGGTGTTTACTGTGCTCAGTTTCGGTCTGCTTCTGGCTTCTTTATTCACTACCACGGCAACTACACCGTCAGAATGGACCATTCTCTTGCCAGAATTTCGCTTTCCAGTCAACAAGAAACAAACCACGGAGCAATTCCTCGTTGAGGTATGGAGTTAATTTCGAATTCCAATTCAGACTGTCATTTTTTAGAAAATCGTTCATGAGCACGAGGAAGGAGAAGACGTTCGTTCGGCTCTTTATCTAACTCATCATGGGTATTTCATGAATGCGATTGCTAACATGAAAGTGACATATCGGCAAAAGTATGTAATGTATTACCGTAAGACCTGTATTAGTAAGGCCCCCTCCGAAATGGGTTTTTCGAAATTTAGCCGTTTTCGTACATTTTTTAATGAAAAACATTCTGGAAATTCTAAAAATTTTTACTCAAAAACAAGCTCAATTGTGGTGAAATTAGCTGATTATCGAAATTCGCCGAAATTCTATATAAAAAATTCCCTTGAAAGTGGCTGGAAAAATAGAAGGGCTATCCGGAGGTAGCTTCGAACAATAGAAGGGCCGGCCCTTCTAATACAGGGTTTACGGTAGTCTCTTGCCATTATATGTATATCAATTTAATAGGTCATACACCGTCAATGATGTTTGCTTCAAACCACATTCTGCGATTTTCGAAAATGTACCGGCTCCGGAAAATATCGATAAACTCCCTGCATATTTCCAAGTGAGTTTAATAAGACCCTTCTTTATTAGAAATCTGTTATTCAAAATCGGACAGTTCAGCGTCTCCTTCTCGAAATGCAACGACTCTCTCCGTGTCTCATCGTCACTCCTCTCAACTGCTTCTATGATAGCTACCATATCCATTCGGAGATAAGCAATTGGAATGCTAGCACGGATTATTTGAATAGAAGACTTCGAAATTCTTATCTAGAAGCAATTGAAGAGAAAGACTCTCGTCCGTATGTGAAATCGACATGTAAGAACATTGAGAATTCGAAAAAAAAAATACAAAAATTTATATTTTCAGATGGTCCTGAATTAATCAAAGAGTGGGCTCGCCATATGTTTGCCATACCATCGAAACCGTTATCAAACTTCTCGAAATCAGATTTATACAGCAGAGTCAAAACATGGCTATCGGTACGGTAAATTATTGCGAAAATTCCGTTTTTGAAATTTTTGGATTGTCGGAATTTTGGGATTTTTTAGATTCCGAATTTCCAAATATTCCAATTTTGAAGTTTTCGGAGCTCAGAATTTTTCGATTTTTAAATAATCTGAATTTCGGAATTTAAAATTTTTCCGATTTCAAAAATTTCGGAATATCGGAATCTCAGGATTTTCCTATTCTTTTCAAAATATTCCAATTTTCGGAATTTGTTAAAATTCAAATTTGAAGTAGAACATTTTCCATGACAAAAACGCCGTATTTTGACAAAAAGATTTTGAATATGCAAAAAAAGCTGGAAGTAGTTCTGCCCGCAAGCAATTTTTCGCGACATATCGTAATCCAAGAATCTCTTATTCCGAAAGAAAATTCGGAAATACCGTAAAACCTGTATTACAAGGGCCGGCCTTTTTATTGTTCCAGGATACCTCCGGAGGTCCCTTCTATTACAGGGGCCCTTCAATTAGAGGGGGTCATTCCATTTTTCCGGTCACTTATTATTCCGAAAATTTTCAGCGAAAAATTAAGTGAATTCTCGTTGAACATTCACGGAAATCTTTTGATTTATCCAAAATTTGAGCAATTTTTTGAGTAAAAAAGAGTTTTTTCAACAAGTTCTCTGAAACTGTGGAATTTTTGGAATATCTTTTACTGAAAACATACTGAAATTTTTAAATTCGAACTACATATTTGGAAGGGGGCCCTTCTATTTTTCCAAGCTCCTCTCGGAGGGCCCTTTTATTAGAGAGGCACTTCTAATGCACGTTTTACGGTATTCCGTCCCGAACATCCCTGGTCCGCCTTCAACCCTATGAATCCTTTTCCAGAGCATTGCCGCCAGAAAGAAAATCTGCGCTGATCCGATGCGTTCTTGTGATGAAACTCTGGATGCAGAGAACTACTTCAATGTGTGTACAGTAATGCAGCAAATCAATGATTATGACGAGAGGCGAAAACAGGTATATATCATTGGTCTGATTCGAAAATCACAGAACAGTTAAGAGATTGAAGTTTCAACTCGAGTATGGAGATGAGGAGTTCACAACCCGTTTGGACTGTGTAGAAGATCGTGAAAAGTTCATTGAGTGGATGCAAGAAAGAAACCTGAGAGACATGTTAAAGTTGTTTGCCTCGAGCGTTGAAATTCCGGACCATAAGGAGATTCCGAATCAGGTCTGTGATGGAATCTATCACGATTTGGACACCAGTTCTGGATTGGAACTTTTTCGTGGTGCCAGAAGTTTCAGCAATAATACATCTGCCTACGATACAATCAATGTTGAACTCGGTTTTATGACACCGGAAAATCTTCTGACTACTATGGTAATGAGCAGGGATGTTCGGAATATCGAAAATTCCGATTTGGAATATTTCTGAATTTTGGAATCTCACAATTTTCCGGTTTTTAAAAATTCATAATTTCGGAAATCCAAAATATTCAGATTTTGAAATTTTCGGAATTTCGGATTTTTCGATTTTTTAAAACTCAAATTAAGGTAGAAACTGAATCCCGAGAATCCGAAATTCCGAAATTTTGAAAACCGGATTTTTCGGACTTCGAAGTTTCAGAACCTCGGAATTTCCCAATTTTTAAAAATTCGGAATTTTGGAAATCCAAAATTCTGCGATTTTGAAATTTTCGAAGTTTTCAAAAATTCAAATTTTAAAGTAGAAACTAAATCCCAAGGATTCCGACATTTTTTTTAAATTGGAATTTCCGACATTCCGAAAAATTCAGAAATTCTCAAAAGGCCATTCCGAACATCCCTGGTAAACAATCACTGAAAAATGGGAATATAAGCTTTATTTACAGCGTCATTCCGACTTCGTCAACGGTTTCGAATCTATTTGGACGATTGAAAGAGCACGAGAGCTATTGAACGAGTTTCGATTAGCTTTAAAAGTAGAAGTAACAAAATTCAGCGAGAGTCGATCCAGTAGAAGAGTAAAAGTGACCACTAGGATAGTGAATCAGATAGAAGAAGAAGGATCTGATGAAGAGATGGAATATCACATGATATATTTCATCCTTGGTGCTTGTGCTCTGATGGTTGCTCTCTTCGCAGCATTCGCCTTCTCAGAGGCCTTCCTTACTTCACTGTCCATGTTTTTGCTACGAGGTTTTATCACTGGTCTTCTCTTTATTTTCCTTTGTAAATCAGGAGGATTGATCTTGATAGACTCCAACTTCCTGGTAAGTTTATTCGAAGAAAACATCTGAATTACTGATAATTTTTCTTTCAGTGTTACATCACAATGCACCTAGCTTTCAATCTTGTCATGACTGCCCGAGTCACCTTCATTTGCTATCGAATCGGAGGATGTGTTCAGTCAGAAAAAGACTTTGTGAAGTCCAACTTTTCTTCATTAGGATCGGGTAGTCACCTATCTAACGCCCTATTACTTATCATTTAATAGTTCCAGTTGATAGTCTCAAAGAGGATAGTTGCAAGCGGCATGTTCAGTACGTTCTTGCCAAGTACACAAAGTTTCAAGTTGCTCAAGATGCGTACTCAGAAGAACCATTCGAGAAACTGCCAAAATACTGGTTCCTCATTGCTATCGTTTTGGTCCCCGTCATTGGAGTTTATTGGTTTTTCATCGATTCCGATGTTCAGAAAATTTGCATTGTTCTTCTACCTGCATTCCTCATTGCTGCTTTTGAAGAGATGAGGGTGAAAAATCAGTTATTACGAGAACGAAGAATCAAAAAAGCGATTCAACGACTGCAAAAGGAAGAAAACACAAGGATCATGTCCAGAGGCGAAATTGATAATCTTTTATCAGGAAACGCAGAGCTTTCTGGAGAAAAGTATATTCAGATTTTGAACCGAATATAATAGAATTTTTATTATTTCCAGAAGCCATTATGAATCAAAACAAGGTGTCCTTCATCATGGATCCGCCGGTGGTCTGTTCGAGCTATCTCGTAGCACATATGATGTGTCTCTAATCATGGTTTGTTTTCTGAATAGTACCGTAAAACTTGTAAGAACTTCGGATTCTTAGATTCCAGGGATTCCAAAATTTCAGGATTCCAATTGTAAGAATCTGAAAATCTGGAAATTCGGGAATTTGAAATTCTAGATTCCCGGGTTTATATCTTATCGAAATTTGAGATTCCCGAATTTTTGGATTCCTGAATTTCTAGGATTCCAGATCCATGAATTTCAAAGTCTTCGGGTTCTTAAACTCCTGAAATTCTAAAATTCCCAATTTTCCAGATGTTTGGTTTTTAGGCTCCTGAAATTCTAGCATTCCGAATTCCCGATTTTCCGGACTTCGAATTCTCGAATTCCTGAAATCCTAGAATTTCAAGGCCTTTGAATTCTCAGGTTCTTGAAATTCTAAATTTCCAGATTCCTGAATTTCCTGAACTTTGGTTTTTCCGATTCCTGAAATTCTAGAATTCCTGATTTTTCCAAACTTCAGAGTCTTGATCTCCTGAAATTTTAGAATTTCAAACTTCAGAATTTCAAGGTTATCGGATTCTTAGACGCCTGAAATTCTAGAATTCCAGATCCCTAAATTTCCAGATCTTTGAGTTTTTTGATTCTTGAAATTCTGGAATGCCACATTTCGGAATTTCAAGGTCTTTGAATTCTTAGAGTTCTGAAATTCTGGAATTCAAGATTCCCAGATTTCAGATTCTTGAATTCCTGAAATTCTAGAATTCCAAATTTCGAAATTTTAAAGTTTTTGAATTCTCAGGTTCCTGAAACCGCTACTCATCAGATTTCTAGATTTCCGGAACTCTGGAACTCCAGGTTCTCGGACTTCCAGATCTTCAGATTTTTGGTTTCCTGAAATTCTAGAGTCCCAGATTCCCTAATTTCCAGATTAGAGTGTTTGCGGTCTTTCTATTCTTTATTAATATAAAATCATTGCAGGCGTATCCAAATCAAATGATCAGGAATCTTCGATTGTGTGCTCTTGGAGCCTATTTTAGGTTGTTCAAAATGAAATATGTAAGCTTTTCTTCATTTCCAGAAGAGAAATTCTTTTAGAGAATTCATAATTAGGATGATTTCAGTGTGCTGTGGTTGTAAGTTCAGTTGCTGCTCTACTCATTTTACTCTCGATTGGATTGCTATTCATTCCGGTTCAAAGATCATCAGTGCCGAAAGAGTAAAGAGCCTAATTCCTATTTCGATCACAAAGAAGTCTATTTTCAGACTCCAACAAGACGAATTATCAATTGATTTTGCTATTCCAAACGTTTCATCATCATCCTGGGAGAGCATCAACGAATATCTCGAGGAGTTCAATTCGGAAATCGGTATTGTTTCTTTCCTAAGTATCTGAAAAATCATCAAGCCCCTCTTCAGATTCCATCACCAATCTTCAAACAATTACAAATGGAAGAAGAGTTTTGATCGTTACGAAAGACGGATTTACCAGGTGAACGACGGGGGTTTAGAAGCCGAAAAGAGTGCGAAAGGAGGATTAGGGGCGAGAGACAAATTACTCGATTTGTTCCTTCATTTCGAATGTGTCATGAAAAAGGAACAATAAATTTTTTTCAGAATTCAACGTCCAAAATCAATAATTTTCTGAAATGGGTGGATGACGAGCCAATTAGCTGGTACCTGACAGCTCCTCTGACACGACCTTATCGGAAAACTCATCTTCCAAATCCATTCCGTTTCCAGTTTCGATATGGGTTTGATTCAATACAAAAGTCAACAATAATAGATGTTGTTGAGGTGATAAACGAAATCTTTCAGTTACCGTATTACCTCTAATAGAAGCTCACCCGTGCCGTCAACTTTGAGCTCAATTACCTCGATTCCTGTAAGAGATATCAGCAATTTGTCAACTGATAAAATGTTGGTGATAATATGATTAACATTTTACCAGTTGACAAATGTTTATATCTTTTAAAGGAATGGAGATAATTGAGCTCAAATTGACGGTTTGGGTGGGCTTCTATTAGAGGAAATCTGGTATAATTTTATTCTAAATTGTTATCTTCAGAGAATCGACACATTGCTCACCAAATACACCGAAACCCTTTCATTTCCAAAAGCGATTGGCTTCCTCTACGAACATTATCATCAGAAAGCAGTCGTCTGGTAAGTCTAAAAAGACTGGGAAACACCAAAATTGAGTTTTGGCTCGTTTTTTAACTCGATTTGCAATACCAGGAGGCATTCTTTTGCTCTTTCTCTCTCTTTTTCAAAACGTTCTGCTTTCAAGCTAATTGGTCGCCAATAAAACATCATAGTCTTATTTCTCGACCCACACTTCCTTTATCATTAGTTTTCTATCTCCATGTAGGTGCGTTATCACTTTCTGCATTCTTCCCTACATCAGGGCTGACTTTCGACCAACATTTATTGAAGTCCATTCCTTTCAATTGGACAATTTCTGGTTCACCAAGGCTGCGTCTTCTGTTATTAATCTCGAATATACCGTATTCCCTCTATTAAAGAAGCTCACCCAAACCGTATACTTTGAGCTCAATTATCTCGGTTCTTGTGAAAGATCTCAAAAAGTGGTCAACTAGTAAATTATTCATCATAATGTCTCCAATATTTGTGTGGTTGACAACGTTTTGATATCCTTCATAGGAACCGAGATAATTAAGCTCAAAGCGGACGGTTTGGGTCTCCCTTTTTTTAAGAAAAAATACAGTAGCTAAATTCCACTGATTTAAGCGCTAATCTTTTTCTTTTCTCCATTCAAATTTTCCTTCTATTAGGTTGGCCGGAAAGTAACTGTCCATTTTTTGATTCGTGAATAACACAAAAGCAAGAGTTATCCAAGATTGACAGTATGCACCGTCGCGGTCCATGACATGTTGGCAACATTCAGGCAACTTGTGGATACCATACCTTCAAAAGCCAGCTGGCTGCGACACAAAGTATTTTTTGAGTCCAGATTTTATCTCAACTTCAGTGTTAAATTATTTTCCTCCAGATGACGTTGCATATCGCCTAATAATCAATAATATAAGGGCCGAATCAGGAGTTAGAAGTGCGTAAAGGAGGAACGTCCAGCTAAAGCGGCCCAGGTCTTACTTGACTTACCGTGGAACATAGATTCTCGAGTTATTTAATGAAACTCAATTCAGTCCTAAGACGCTTTGGATGGACGGCTTTTCACTTTCCTTAAACTCCAGACTTGACCCTTTTATTATTGGCTATTCGGAGATATTCAACGTCATCTGGAGGGAAAATAATTTTACACTGTCGATGAGAAAAAAAACGTCCGGGAAGGTATACTTTGAATCACGGCCAGCTGGCTTTTGGAGGTATCCACAAGTTGCCTGAATGTTGTCAACATGTCGTGGACCACGACGGTGCATATTGTCAATCTTGGATGGTTCTTGTTTTTGTGTTAATCACGAATAAAAAAATGGATAGTTACTTTCCGGCCAACCTAATATATCTCTCAAATCCCGTTTCAGCATTACTAAAGTGTTGGCCGTTTGATCTTTCCTTCGTCGCCACTTCCCTGATGGAAGAAAAGAGCTTTTGGTTGTTCCAAAATCTTCGGGTTGGGTCAGGAACCTGGTGTTTACTGAAAAAAAAAGAATCCAGTATTCTCAAAAAATATGTTGGAAGCTGATGCTGATTCTAAAAAAAGTTACATTGAACCACGACGTTTCAGAACTTCTCCGCATTTTTGCATAGTTGTTTTTGCACACCAAGTAAGTGTTGCTCATTTCAAACTGTTGTTTTTCTGCTTTCTTACTCGTTCTCATCTACAGTACTCCAAATAATTATATGTTCACAATCGTAAACTCTTGAAAAACCGAAAAATTGAAATTTTCAAAAAGCGGTGTCTAAAAGTACGCAAATAAATTTTCGTACGGCAAATATGAGTATCATTTTTGCCACTTGAATGACATCGTTTTTGAAATTTCAAATTTTTTTTAGATTTTTTGAAAGTTTCCGAGTTTGAACATATCATTGTGTGGAGTACGGTAGATGAGAACGAATGAAAAAGCAGAAAAACAACGAATTGAAATGAGATACTCATTTGGTGTGCAAAAACCACTATGCAAAAATGCAGAAAAGTTCTGAAATGTCGGGTTCTGAAACGTCCAAGAGCCAAATTTGCCAGAGAACGTCATCTAGAACCAAAAGCTATAGAATTTGATCTCTATAATCTTCTCGTTGATTACTGATAATGTCAATCTTTCTGTACTTCCTAGATGCCTTCGCCTCCTCCCTCAAGTGCTCCGCCCTCTTCCTCCCCCCATCCCTTTTCAGTGTCTTTTTTTCACACTGGGCGGCGACGGCGCCTCCAGGATAGACGCCGAAGAAAATAATTTCATCTTCCTCATCACCACCGTGGCTGCTTCTTCTTCTTTTCCTTATTTCATCCTCCCTATGGGCTTTCAGAAGGAGAGTAACGAACTTCTGTCGTTGCTGGTTCTTGTCTATGATTCTTCCAACAGATTAGAAGAAGTGGGGGGACTTTGAAAAAAAATTAGAAATTTTTTACATTTTGCTTGGCATCGTTGTCGCCTGCCTTCCCCGATAATGATCATGGAATAGCTGAAAAACGGTTTGAAGTGTTGTCTCAGGTTTCGGTTTCCTCATGAAAATGAAAAGAAAATGTTACAGTATTCTGGGGGCGGAGTCAGTTTTTCAAACTTCTTCAAACGGCAGTACCTTTTCATAGAACTGCAGGAGTGTTCGGAATGACCTTTTTGGAATTTTTCGGAATGTCGAAAATTCTGATTTTTGAAATTGGAGATTTTCGGAATCTCGAAATTTTCCGATTTTTAAAAAATCGAAGTTTCAAAAGTTCGGAATTTTAGACTTTTCTAATTTCTGAATTTCCGAATTTTTGAATTCTGAATTTTTGAATTTCTGAGTTTCTGAATTTCTGAATTTTTGAGTTTCTAAATTTTCGAATTTCCGAGTTTTTGAATTTTCGGAATTCCTGAATTTTAGAATTTTTTAATTTCCGAACTTCCGAACTTCTTAATTTTTGAATTCAGACTTTCCGAATATCTGAATTTGCCGAAGATTAGTATTCGAGAAAAACGGGCCCCGAAAATTTTGGTTTACGGTAGTTTTGGCCACGCCCACAATCATTCCTCTCCCATAGCTCCTATTTTTCCATACAAGCATAATGAATCCAGAATTTTAATAATCTCATCTCCTATTCTCTCATATCTCCCTCTAACACTTTCAGATGATGATGGCTGCAAAAAAGACCTCCTCCGTTTATTTTTTTTAGTTCACCACTACTCAAATTTCATCTATAAATTTCCGATTTCCACCTGCTAATGAATAAACTATCCCTTTTTTCCAGGAATTCATTCGCATATCATGAAATTTTTGCTGCTGCCGTTCTTGCTGGTTTCTTCTCAATAATCGTGGTATTCTTCTCGATTGGACCTGTTGTCTTACCGACTCTTGCCGTAAGTTTTTCTTCCTGAAATTTTGGATTTTGAAACTGAAAGTTTCGAATTTCAGTTCGCGTTCTTCGTGGTAGGAAATCGGCTGGAAATCGCCGCTATCGTCTCCTTATTTTCCTTAGAGTACCACCAGTGCTACACCAACGTTGCTGTTTTCGTGGGTGAGTATATAGCTCCGCCCCCTTTTAAAAAGGGTTTTTTTTTCAAATAATTTCTTGTTTAGGTTTTCTCGCTGCTTGGACGCCATTCTGCGATCTTGCACGATTCCGGGGACGTCTTCTGTATAAGGATCAAACTAGGAGAACGCCCGAATTGGCAACTCAACGACGTATTCGAGTTCCCCACGTGGCAGCAGTCGACACTGTTCAAATTTTCGCCATATTTTTGACAGGTCAGTAGCAATATATTCTTTCGACTAGGCTTCGAGAAACTTGACCTAGAGAAAAGGCCTGATATTCATCTGGTGTAATTTGAAGGCTATTTTAATGTGGTGTCCTAAAAATTCCAACTTGCAAAAGTTAGGCCACCATGTCAAAATGGTCGGGAAATAGCCTGATATTCAACTGGTGTGTGTTCTAGGCCATCTTGACATGGTGGCCTAACTTTTGCAAGTTGAGTTTTCTAGGCCACCCTGTCAAAATGGTTCAGAAATGACCTGATAGACACCTGGTGTGTTTTTGGGCCATTTTTAAATGGTGGCCTAACTTTTGCCAAGTTGAGTTTTCTAGTCCACCATGTAAAAATAGTTCAGAAATGGTCAGATATTCACCTGGTGTGTTTTCTGGGTCATTTTGTTTTTTTTTGCCAAGTTGAGTTTTCTAGTCCACCATGTCAAATCATTTCAAAATGGCGAAAGTTGAGTTTTCTAGGTAACCACGAGTTTAACTGAAATCCAGAAAAGTCTGTTTTTCGACTCTGCCTTATAATGATGATCTGCTTTTCATACTGCCTTCTCCTCGAACAAATGTTCGCCCAAGCGTCAAAAATTCGTGAAATTTCCCTCTCTCTTCCATCAATTTGTTCCCCATTTCACCTAGACAATTAATCTTTCCCGCCTTGTCCATTTCGATTTTCTCAATTACTCATATTGAGAAATTCAACCAACACCTCGTTTTGTTGTTGGAAAAGAGGCTTCTTTAGATTTATGACTTTTCGAGGCTCACAATTTTTTGCATCGTGGGTGGCCTCAAGAGCATTGAGAAAACAAGAAAGACGATGTGCTCTTCTCGCAGAGACAAAAAACATTCCCCATTTATCAGTTTTGTCTCTTGAGAGTGTTTTATGAATAGCTGTTCTCTATATATCATATTTCAGTAGACATACTTTTGTAGATAAAAATCTCTGGAATTTGAGATTTACTACTTCTTTGAAGTGGATGACGACAACTAGATTCTTTCTTCTGATAACCTGTTAATCAAGATTTACAAGCATATCAAGTTACTGACAGAATAATACTCCACAATATAGATTTGTGGGCGTGGCCAACGGTCTCCGTAACGAAAACCACAGTAATCCAAAATTTTCGGTTCTTTTTTCTCGACTACTGTAGTTTTTCGACAACTTTTGTGCTTCTGAGAAATCGCCAGAAACACATACATGAGGGATTTTTGTAAGTTTGGGGTTTTTAATGGCTGGATTCACACACGGAAACTCTCAAAAATCGAAAAAAAAACTGAAAATTTCAAAAAAACGAGGTCATTGCTAAAAAAAAACGTTTTTGAAAATTGCACTTTTTTCGAATTTTTAAAAAGAAAATTCGAGTGTAAACTTATCATTGTGTTAAGTACGGTAGATGAGAACAAATAAAATGCAGAAAAAAACAACACATTGAAATGAGCGATACCCATTAATGTGCAAAAACCACTATGCAAGAATTCAGAAAAGTTCTGAAACGTCCAGGAGCCAAAATTTGCAGAGAACGTCATCTAGAATCTAGAGCTATAGAATTTGATCCCTAAAATCTGATCGTCCATTACTTCTCAGCGTCGGGTTCAGAAGTGTCGAGTGGAACGTCCAAGAGCCATAATTTGAAAAACAAATCAAAATTTACAAATCACTTGCATAATATCTACGACGACTGTAGCTTTAAAATTAGACCCTTACAATTAGAAAATAGCTTTCTCATTTCTCCTAATCCCATTGTTCATGATTAAGCTAATATCGCCTTTTTTCGTTCGATGACCAACTCACTCATTAACTAGAGCTCCTCCCCTTTTTTTCTATAAAAGTACATCCAGTGTATATATGGGCCCAACAATTCTCAGAGGCTGTCACAACCACCCACGGCGCCCGGTTTTCTATTCTCTTCATGTTTTTTTATGCTCCGCCTCTTCCGTTAGTTTCCTTCTTCGTAGTTCTAGTGCCTGAACACGGTGGCCTCTCTCTTTCTTTTTGAAAAAGAATGTTTCGTATTCATGAGACGGCGAGCTAGAAAAAAAAAAGAAAAATGAGAAGGAGGCAAAGAAAGACTCGGAAAATGAATTGATGGTGATTAGGAGAGAGAGAGAGAGCTCCGGGAGACCAAAAGAAAGACCTTCCATACGGAAGTGGCAAGTACAGTATCTTTCAAAAAAAAATTCTGTTGATTTTCGGACATTTTGATCATTTTCAGAAGTCTGGGGCTCGGCCGTCAATTTTCTGATCACTGTGAAATTTTCGGAAGTTATGAAACAGACCTAGATTGAAAGTTTTGCATTCACAGAGTTTTTCGAAAATTCTTAGTTTTTCAGCTATTTGTCAATTTCTGAAGGGCACCTTCTTGCCCAGTTTCTCGCTTAAAATTGCCTAAAAATCGTTGAAATTCGATTTCAGGTTTTGGACTCCTCGTGGACAATTCGATGTGCGAAATTCGAATTTTCGGGTTACAAAGCAGCTGAAAACTCGATTTTCCAATTTAAAAGGCTAGAAGTCATTAAAAAATCGACTCTAAAATTCAAATTTCGTACTGAAAACATGAAAAAGGGTGTCTTAAAAAGTTGACAAATAGGCGAAAGATTAGGAATTTTCAAAAAATTCTGTAAATGCAAAGTTTTCAATCAAGGTCTGTTTCATAACCTTCATAATTTTCAAAGTTGATGGAAACTTGACAGACGAGCTCTAGGCTCCTAAAAATGGTCAAAGTTATCAAAAAAACTGAAAAAGTATACTGTAAAAAAACTGTTTTACAGCCACCATTCTGCTCATCGTCATCACTGCCATCATTCCTCAATTCCGTGCCTTCTTCATTCCTACCGTAATCCTGCTCATCACTCTTCTCCTCGCAGTCTTCAATTCCCTCGCCGTTTCATTAGCAGCATATCAAATGTTCGAACACGAAGTAAGTTCTTCTGGCTTCTTTCCTTTTAATATCATCTCACACTTTTGTGAATCCTGTAGACGTGTTCTAATCGGGGGATTATATTCCCCTTCAGCAGTTCGTTTTTCCCTCTTCTAATCCCATCTTCATCGTTCTCACCGCATCTCCTCTCGTTCAGGTTCGTCACTGCTACCATGATCAACTGCAGAGTCTCACCACGACAGGAAAAGTGTGCGATATGACTCGCAAGAAGTTGTTGCCTCGAGAAGAAGATCTGTCGATTCCAATGGAAGAATTTTCTATCCGACCAACTGAAAATACGAAGCACTATGCTCCACGGCCAATCGACAATTCTGACCCTCCTGAACAGGCAGCCGACGAAGAGGTGGTCAACCAGGATCCATCGATGGAAGCTGCGCGACGGCAATACGTGGAATTCACACATCGAACAACTGGAATGCCAATTGAGCTCATCAATCAGTTTGTAGACAATTTCCCAGTGTTCAATGTGCCTGCGAATTTTCTTCCGAATTATTTTGCACTCGGTGGAGCGCCTTTGGATGCTAACAATGGAGTGTTACTGCGCCAGGTAGGGGACACAATTAATGTGTCTTTTCGAAAAAAATGTCCCAAAAAAGGCATTGAATTTAGGTCATTTTGGTACGGTGGCCTAAGTTTTGCAAGTTGAGTTTTCTACGCCACCACGTTTAAATGGCCTAGAAATGTTCTGACATGCACATGGTGTGTTTCCTAGGCCATTTTGACATGGTAGCCTAAATTTTCCAAGTTTGGTTTTCTAGGCCACCACGTTTAAATGGCCTAGAAAACACAACAGGGTCAT